GGGGGGGGGGGGGGGCCAGGGGGGAGGCTGGGAAGGGTATGTATTTCTTCTGGCATGTGCTACAAACAGTCATGCATATAAGGCAAAGTTACCGTCTTAGAAAAATCCTGCAAACCTAGAGCTTACAGGGGTTATACTAAAAAGAAGAGTACGTGATGCATGAACAGAAAACATAAAAAAAAAACCCAGAAAAAAGGACAAATCAGCATTACAGTATTCAGCTTAAACTTCCTGCCTTGAAGGAAGAAAAACATCCAAGGCACACCATTTCAAAAAATCTGATACAAACAAAATAATTAATAAGCTTGGTTTGCCACCTGCATAGACATTTTAGTGTCAGCAACTAACAATACTGAAAGTAAGGAGCCTGTCTATTGGAGCATCCAGGCAATCAAAGTTACGCCATGGTCTCTTCAGTTTAATGAGGACATACAGCACACACCAACTTACCCAACCTGTTGAACTGTTGAAAAGTATGTGACTCCCTCTCTTATAAATAATTAAGCCACCTACAAATTAGACAAAATCAGTGGTGTGCAAGCAATGACGACTGTCAAGTCTGGTTTTGCTTTAGAAATAGCATGGTGCAAGGAAAACAAAACCTAGTTTCTTAGTAATCACAGAAGAAACACACCACACCTTCCAATTGTCTGCATAACCCACTTTAGGCCCGACCTTCATGAGATACAACAATCAGGCTCATCTCCAGGACATGTTCCCCAAGCTACACAAATCACCATTAAGGGTGGCCTGACTGTTTGGTAGCAAGGACATCCTCCTGCTGAGCAGGAGACACAAGTCTGAATCTACCCTCTGGTTGTAACCAACCAAGTCAAGGACTGGGAGGATAATTTCAGCCTCTATGGGAAGAGAAGAAAATGATATCTTTCATTACGCTGGAGCACCCCCTAGTAGTCACAAAACATCCAGGTCCAGGGAAAGCTATCAGCCATCCCTGCCTCCAGGCCAGATGTGAGGAGGTAAACAAGGTGAGGGAGGACATAGAATCATGCTGTCAGAATAATTAATTCACTTGATAGTGGAGAATACTTAATAAATTTAATAAATTACATGTGCAGCTAATGGTAAAACTAATAGATTAGTTAAAGCCCTTGTCCTTACTATGTCTTCAACACAAATAATACTCCTTCTGTAGGTCACGTATTTGTCAGAGTATTGATAATGTCATCAACATGGTAATTAAGCTGACAAACATCAATACAGAGCCCAGTTAAATGGGTGGCAAAAGGAGTTCAGTTTTCATAAGACCTTACTTGTTTATCAGTTGAAAGCCCAAAAAGTTTAGACTAACACATGGAGAGCTAACAGAATAGTTCATTTCCATCTTAACAAGACTACCCAAAATGACAGATTTTAAATACTTGGAAGAAAAAAAAAAGTAGGAGCTTGAGACAGCACTATATTCTAACAGGAAAAAGAAACAGTCTTATGATAACAGAACTTCTGAACCTTGAACTAACCACAATACTTCTGGTGAGAAGGAAAAAACTCAGAAGTATCAAACAAGGCCACATTAGAATACTCTGTGCCATTGAAAAAGAGAGGAGATAGAGTATTACCAGAAAGAGGCCAGTGCCCTTGGTATCTCCCGACATAAGAATTTTTTTCTTCTCCTTGTATCAACACCGCTTTTTGTACACCTTTATCACCAAACCACTAAGCAGCAACAGCTTTTCAAAAAAATAACGCCAATAGACAATCCTAGCATCGCTAGCTCTTTGAGAATGCCAAAAATATAGAGACTTGGGAAACATTCTATTTGGAAATATTCTATTTTTGTGCCTCTGGGTCTGAAAGAATAGAGTTAGAGAGTTCTTTCTTCCCTGGAGCAAAATTTACATAAGCATGTAGCTATTGCTAAATAACTTTTGCATTAGAGACAGCTCAGGGAAATGCCCTGTTCTTAAGACTCTCAAGTTTCATCAGATCACTGTGTAGGGCGTTTTATTTTTTTTAATTATTACTCACACTTGTATACTGAATCACTTATAAAACAAATAAGGTTTAATAAGTTTCAATGCCCAAGGCTACCTCAACATGATGACATCTCTGTCACGCAAGAACTGGGAGTGCTACACCCTGGAGCAATAACTAAAAAGCTGTTTGATATAATGGCAGGTTTAAAAGCAAACCTCCAGACCAAGAGAATTTAAAATGCAGATTCCTGAAACAGGTTAGAAGTTTCCTTCAAGTAAACAAATGTTATAAAAAAAAAGTAGTGATTTCTTATTAATCCAATATTTATAATCCTTCAAATATACAAAGTATCCAAGCACAAAAGTGAATTTTGAATACTGCAATGCCAGTTTCAACAAAAGAGGGCAGTTTTAAAAACTGAATCTGAAATACTGCAAGCAAAGATTCCTGTAGTGCACACCTGTTGTGAAATGATATATTACTGACGACAGGTGTAAAGAAAAAAAGAAAAAAGCATCAGTGGAATTAAAATGTGTAATGCAGGCTGCGTGTTTCAACAAGAATCATGAAACAGTAGTACTTGTTCTACACATAATGCTGAGTTAGATTAAACAGTAGCATACCTAATCACCAAGACTTAAGGCCACGAAGAGGCAGATCAAAGTGCAGCAACGTCGAACTACTCATTGCATACCTAACTTGCAGTTTCAGTTCATTGAAATGCAAGAGTTTCATGTCTTTTTAAAACAGTTTTGCCATGCCAATCTCACTACAAGCTATTTCCTAAATGCAGATCATAAACAACATAATATATCTGACTGAAATCCACCCTGTTAGGGGCTACCCTAAACTGACCTAATGAAGAGAGAGAAAGATTTTTATCCCCAACCTGGTGGGTTACATTGTCAAAACCTCCCTTGCTGTACTGACCAGAAACTGAAAAATGGCCTTTTTTTTGTCTTGCTTGAAAGAGAGAAAGAGAAAGAGAGAAATGCCCAGGCAACTACACTCTGACTCTTAAAGTAACGAATTGCTGGAAGAATCCAAGGGCAAAGAATTTGAAGCCTGTTGACACAAGTTTTAGTCGTCCCTCATGAGGATGTGTTCTGCTTTATACACTTAGCAATTACTTATTATGTTGCTGTACAGACTGTTAGACTCTTGCATGGTTAAGAGAAAAGGTTTACTTATTTTAAACACTGCTTTTATTTTCAGCTGATATTTTTGGTTTAACAACATACTATTGTTACAAGTGTCTTACAAAATTCTTAATATTTAACTCTTGAAATAACTATTTCCTACTCCACTTAAGCATGTCTGCATACACACATACCTGCATACGTATCATTCTGAAAACCTTTATTGCCTAATGAGATAATTCATGTTTACATTGTAGTAACTGAAATTAAAAATTGAAGAATGAATGCAAGAAAAGGCTTTAAAAATTCAGTCTGCTCATACCTACCAACTGGAACAGGAGTTATGAGCTGTAGGACACAAATCAAACTGGCCTGACAAATACCTTCTCCTATCACACAGAGAAGAAAAAAATCATATAAATGCAAGAAAGCAGGCTTCTGCTTCCAGGTATATTGTATCGCATTCTAGTTTCGATTCTACTTGTTAAGTATTCACCTGTTTCGCTTAGTATGCACTAATGAACAGGTGGATAGAGCCAAAGCCAAACTCAAAGGAATTATGACAAAACACTAATGTATTATACATCCTACAGGTCTCATCATGCACCTAGAATGGCAAACAGTCAGTCTCCCTTTCCAGATCTGACAATAAAATGATGAAACATCATTCTGTCTTTTGAAACATACTGCAATGCATACAATAATGCTTCCTCCTGCTTAAGCAGCAAGTCCTAAGTTATTCTAAATATAGATCATTTCTTGTATCTTCTGATTTGGAAGAGCTGCTAGAGAAAAAAAAAAAAAACAAAAAACACACACCACACACTTGTTCCAGAACTTTGCTTTGATGATTAGCAACATACTGCATACAAGTCCTCATAGCAATTATTTAAAAAGAGCTGCAGAATTATGCAAATTATAGAAACTCGTACAAACACCCGCAAATCCTTAAACTTGTACAAAGACCGTACAAGAGCTTGTCATCTGACTTTGCTTGTGCTACCTCGACTTTGGTCAACAACAAAAACACGAAGGAACAACTCCACCCACACAAACTCTTCCATTCCACCCAAATATATTCGGACATCAAAATTGGAACAGATACCAGAACTGTTCTTCAAGTATTTCAAAATGCACACCAACTATAAGAAAGCTTTTATAAAAAGATATTCTTAGAATGTACAAGAGGAGTACTTATCATACAGTAATGCTTCAGGTATTACAGATTTTTTCCCATGCATAGTATATAAATTTCAAAACCCAAACTAAGAATTCAGCTCTTTGAGTCATAAACTATTGTTACTTCACAAGGTAAGGAGCATTAAACAAAAACAAAAAGGAGCAACCACTACTATATCAGAAGCCCAACCTCTTCTTTTTGTACAGTTCCAATTATGTAATTTATTTCAAAGGTTTTGTTCAAAGCAAAAAAAAAAACAAACCAAACAACCCAAACTGAATTATGAAATTACTACTAATATACAATCAGGTACTTAAAAGCATTTTTGAGAGTTATTTATCAGTATCTATACTGGTAATTTCACTTTCATTTCATGATGACAAGAATACTTAAAGAAAATACACATACATGGTGAGTTATGTCTTCAAAACTGTTGTGGAGGAAATTATAGCTATGTATTGTCTTATCCTTTTTCAATAAACAGGAACCTCTCTGTGCATTTGCTATTAACTGTCAACCATAGCAGTATCATATAATCACAAAACAGAATCATCTAGCTTTTAAAGGAAAAATGTTATTTACCAGGGCCTGGAGCATGCCATTCATCACAACAGTCCCCTCCATGGTCTGGAAGGAGGATTTAGATAACAATGAAAGTGTCCAGTCCAGGAAGTCTGCCATCCTTTTTTGCCTCACATCAGGGCGGACAATAAATCTGTCACAAAAAAAAACCAAAACGCTGCCGTTACTAACTTTATGACTCTCAATGAAAACAATTCTTCCTGCTATCGAAACTGGTTGCAGTTCCTAAAAACAATTCTCCAGTGGATATTTTCCTAAATCGCTGAGGGTGGGAACACTCCAAACCATCATATGTTTAGCCTTTCTGTTTCTGAGCAAGGCTCTGACCCAGAATCTCACTTTTACTTCCAACCAACTTATAAACTTGAATTACAGAGATTTCTCATCTTAATTGTAAAGCAACAAACTTTCCAAAGGACCCACATAAAAATTATTTCCATTAGAATTAGTGAAAAGCTGAAACAAATAGGAGGATTCTCCACCATTCTTGCCAAGAACAGCTATTCCGCAAATCTGAAAATTGGTGCAAATCAACAGTTGGTCCATGCTGCACTGTTATCAGCCAGGCCCATAAAGAGTAATCATCACTACTATATTTGTTTTTTCAGATATTTGAAAAGGTCAAACTCTTGTATTTAACACACTGGATGGGTCAATAGATGACTTTTTACCCCATCTTACAGAGGGCAAAAGAGGTTCATTATGGTTAAACTACTTCCCTAAACCTATACTCAGTCATCATCAGTGCCAGCCAAGCTACAGTTAGGGCATCTGCTTCAGTTATCTAATTTAGTATTCTTAGCACCTAAAAATGAGGGTCCTGTTCCAGCAGAGATTCAGACTAAATTAAGTAACTGTTCTCAATGCAATCAAAGGAAACAAGGTACATGGGAAAGCCCACAAAGTACAATTCATAGCACTTAAAGAAGGATATATGCAGAGCCTGTATCTGGTTACTTTATACACCTACAAATTAAATGGGGAACACCACCAAGAGCTAACTAATGGGGAATAATAAATACAGAGAACACAGGAAACAGTGAGCAGACATGTGATCACTTGAATTGTCTTCAAAGTCAGTATCTATTGTGTTCAACAACAGAATAATGAGGATTTGGGGGAGGGGTTAGTTGAGGGGGGGTGGTTTGTTTTATAACAGAGCAGCAAAGACAAAGCCTTCTTTGGCACAATAGCGCAGGTAACAGAACTAACCTGTAAAGTAGATGAACTGGTTCCTAGACCCTCTCTCAGCCCAAAGGAGTTTAAATCTTAATTTCTCAAAGGAGTGCCCTAACCTCCAGACTAGAAGGAAGACAGGGATAAGCCATACCACCTCCTACTGCAACCAGGTCACTGAGCAGACAGAAAAGAAATGAATGAAACAAACTCCAGCTCCTTTGCCCTATGAAAAGCAAATTACTTCAGAAACCAGGAAGTCATTCATGGATCCTGATGTTTCTAAACTTCACTTGAAACTCACAGACTCATTAGAGCAAGAACCAGAATCCAGACTTCCCCTTCCTCCCCAAGGAGCTTCCCACTCAGTGTGTTACAGAGTTAAGACTCCTGTATCTTATCTCTCTGTCCGCCCCAGGACTTTTATGTTCCTGACTACCCAACAGTCTAACTTCAGTAAGATGAAACAGTGATCTCATCTCAGAATACCTATGCCTGCTCATTAAAGAACTGTTTTGGGATGTGAACGCAGTGAATTCAAGCGCACCAAGGCCAAAAGGCCTTGGACCCAGGTCTTCTAACTCCTGGTCAAGTGTTCTAATCATTAGGCTATTTTGAAAATGGTGTTTTCATAATAAACTAAATAATTTTAAGTACACTAAATAGTAATTTTGCCCCCATTAGTCTTACACACCTTGATGCAGCTGGTACTAGAACCAGCTTAATGTATTCTATCATCTTATTTGTTATGAATATATACTTTTAATAAAAATTAATTCAGCCAATAAAATGGAGGCGAAGGGAACGTAAGACAATCGCTAATAACATGCCTGCATAGTACCCTGCATTAGCATGCAAGGCACTTATGAAATCCCCCTGAAAGCCAGGGCTGAGCACTGCATGAACCAAAAGGTTTGCTGAATGTAATGCAGTAATCAATCACATTACTACATAAATGCTTCCACTAGTAATTTATTTTTACAGAGACTCTGGAGTGCAAATGAAGTGCAAATTCAATTTGTAATGTGATGAAAGAATCTTTTTAAATTACTGTCATTCTTACTTGAGAAGGCTTCCAAATACTGGATGTACCTTCAAGAGTCTATCACAGTTGGTTGATTTGGGTTTTCTTATGGGTTTTTGGGAAGTGAAGAAGATAAAGGGCACATTCAGGCACATATGAATGCTCAAGAATAATTCACTCTGTGTCACACTTTCACCTCAAATCCTCTGCTTCGTCTACTTGTGATAAGATGGTTTACCAATGCATATAGACAAAAATCCTAGAAAAGCAACTTCCAATTACCACTTCCAAAATGACTGCAAAAACTAATCAGGATAAGGAGACAAACCTACATCCTGTCACATGGAAATAAATATGTAACAGACAAGATTATTTATTAAAGACTATTCAAATGATTCATGCACTCACTTAAATTTTGCTCTGAAATATTTCAGAGTAAATCAGAAAAGTACAGGACTAGTCACCAGACAACTATTACTCTAGTCTCAACTCCTTCATGAATTTTCCGCGTGACACTGTCAGTTCTAAAACAAAAAAATGGTTTTTTTGTCATCAGATTCAGAACTGTAGCATTATGCTCACTAAATACAAATTTCTAAAGCATTGAGTCCCATGACTTAAGTTCAGAATAAATTTAAAATAAATACATGGACAGTTATTTCCCAAAACGACAGTTAGGATCTACTCTACTAAATGTTGTATTTAACAACTACTTTGATACAATTAATCCCACAAATTTTGTGCCTCTTAATCCAGAGAAAAATGTTAACACAGATTTTATTGTTCAGACTCGCTACCCACATCATCATTTCGTCTTGTTCACCCTACAGAGCCTCTGCTCCTATTGCTACACTGGCAAAACTAGGCTAGCAGAGCCCCCTAGCGTAGATAGAGTATATGCTAGTGTAAAGATTCTGGGGGTTTGCTTGCTTTAAAAAGAAAGAAATAAAAGAAAAACCAAATGACAAACTGAGTTGACTAAAGTCCTCTTCCGCTAGAATATATTGGAATAGGTACTGTGACATATACTGGAAAAAAGATACGTGTGTACTAGCACAGTTTATGGTCTTTGTAATTTATTTTCATATACATCACAAATGAAACCAATCTCCACTAATGCACTGGGACAGGAAAGAAGAGATACAGAAGTTCATTATTTCAAATTTATAAGCAACCCTAGCATCAGTATTACTGAAGTGATGCAAAAAATGTCAGAACAACTGCACCTCTGCCACAAATTGTTCTGTGTCTGAAAGCCAACCATGTAAAACACTGGGATTTAGAAAGTGCCATTATCCTACAGCTGTTTCATTTGATGAATTATTTGACAACAATAAACATGAGAAAACATTAAGTACTGTTTTCTAGATGAAAGAATAAAGAAAGTAACAATAGGGATATTAAGAAAAAAAATTCTAGCATTATTATTTCCTTTTACATAACTGAAATACTTCTAGGAAACATTAAGCCAGTAATACTAGATACCAATTCTCTATTTACCATGCAACACACTGCAAAAATCAACAGCAACACAGAGTAACTATATCTTTCTGAAACCCTGTAGCACAAACCAATCCCTAGAAGGCAGTTTGAACAGTATCCTGTTAGCAGTATCACTTGTGATAGATAACTGTTCCTCTAGTAAGCAGAAGAAAGTACAGCATTTCCAATAATAAACACGCTACTGGATCTGATTCAAGCAAGTTTAACATCCCACACACAGCTGGCAACTTCCAGTCCTCCCAACGCTGTCATTAGTAGCATGTCAGACTAAAAAATGGCAGGAGAAATGGGAGCTAGCTTTTTTCCTTTCTGCCAAGAAGGACAAAAGAGACTTACTTTGAAACCAGTACAGCAGCTGCATCTCGAGCCTTATCACTGACGACCAAGTAACACTAAAGGTAAAAGAAAACTAACTGTAAAAGAATTCATACATGTAGATTTAATAACAACTATATAACTTTGTACATTAATATACTACTTAATACTTCTGATTACAAACATTATTATGATTACAAACTGAGCTTAAGAACTGTCCTGGTTTCGGCTGGGATAGTTAATTTTCTTCCTAGTAGCACGCATAGTGCTGTGGTTTGGATTTAGTAGGAGAAGAATGTTGATAACACACTGATGGTGTAGTTGTTGCTAAGTACTGCTTATGCTAGTCCAGGACTTTTCAGCTTCCCATGCTCTGCAGGTGCACAAGAAACTGGGAGGGGGCACAGCCAGGATAGTTGATCCAAACTGCCCAAAGGGCTATTCCATACCATGTGACCTCATGCTCAGTATAGAAACTGGGGGGAGTTGGCCAGGGAGCAGCAATCGCTGCTCGGGAACTGGCTGGGTATCAGTCAGCAGGTGGTGAGCAATTGCATTGTGCATCACTTGCTTTGTATATTGTTGTTATTATTATCATTACTATTTTACTTTATATCAATTATTAAACTGTTCTTATCTCAACCCAGGAGTGTTTCTCACTCTTACTCCTCCGATTCTCTGCCCCACCCCATCGGGGTAGGGGGGGGTGAGCAAGTGGCTGTGTGGTGCTTAGCTGCTGGCTGGGGCTAAACCAGGACAAGAACGTAAAAAATTAAATTTCCCATTTAACAAACCCTATCCCAGACAACAAAGCCTCCCTTCTACTGTCTTTCAAAGCAAGCTTACCTTTACTGAAACCTTAACTTACAGTCATACTTGTGCTACTACATGCTTACAAGTGATAAGCCACTGAAGTGCTGCAAGTGTCAAAAACATAAGCTGTTCAGGTATTTGTGGGGAAGGGGTTGTTGTTTATTTTTATCTTAAAGGGATGACAAGTTAGCCACTTCGGTGTATGCCTAGTGAAACTTTATTATCTTTGCTGAAAATTCTTCAGGAGGTCATAGCTTCCAATGTTACTCAACTTGATTGACTGCTAATTTCCTATATAAACTATTAAACTTGGCTTTTGGAAAAAGCTAGCTAGTATTTTCAAACACTAAAAGCTGTTAACATAATCAATGGCATGCGTTCGTATCAGGTAGTCATAAAAGAATACAGTTTATTACTTCAGCAAAAACAAGTAAGTCTCACCTGACACTAAAGCAGCAAAGAACATACTGAGGATTCCAAAACTATGGAGAAATTCTTTACAGATTAGATACAGAAAATATGGGCTTAAATAAAATCCTGAGAAGACAATAGTTTATTATATACTGAAAGATTAAGCTTAAGAAAAATATCACAGGTTTGAAAGTATTACAAGACGAATTATACTTACTTTTGCTATTTTAAGTATGCGATCCATTGTGGGCATACGAGCATGCCCTTCCTCAGAAATAATATTTCCATCAAAACGGGCCAGGTCAAAAGGAATCAAGCATATCATGGAAAGCCATAATAACAGCATATAACGAGTTTCCCAAGTCTGGAAAAGAATGGTAAAACAAAACATGCACTCCATTTTCTGGAACATATTCCCACAAAGTGCCTGGAGCACAAACTGTCTACTAGCTCCAGGGAACTTTCAAAGTAAGACGATGAAGAAAAAACTCCGAACCTGAATGCTCTGAAACACCGAAGGAGACAGAACTACAAGAGATTCCAAACAGTAAAACCGTAACAAAATTCAGGGACCCTCCCCTCTGAATCCCAAATCCAGACAAGTTTATTTCCTTCCCAAAGGAAAACTGCATGTTGCCATTTTCCTGTTTTCTCCTTCCCTCAGCCCCTGTGTGCCTCCAGTCACAAATATGTGAGAAATATATTCTTCTTCCTAATTTCTTACGTATTGCTTTCATGGGTTTACTGAAACAACTTTAGATGTGTTCTGACAGACAGACAGACAAGAAGGAACTTTTACAAGCTTTAAAGCTGTACAACTACATCAACAACAGTAAAGCGGTCAGAAGTGATAATGTTTATTAAAAAATTACTTGAATTTAGAACAGCAATACAAGTATTGTCTTCATGATTTTTGTTACTTATAATAGATGATGATCTCTCAAAATTCATCCGTCTTAATAAGCCTTCTAGAATTCTTATTTTTCCTTATTCAAAAATATAAGAATATAAGACTACAGTATCTTGGAGTTGGACTCAATGATCCTTACGGGTCCCTTCAAATTTGAGACATTCTGTGATCTCAATCCATGCTTAAAAATTCTTTGCTTAAATATTTTTTCAAATAAGAATCCTTGCCCAGAACATTCCCAGCCAAATGAAACTTTAAATCAGGACACATAATGACATGGCGTCACACTGTTTTTCGAATTGCAAACAGGTAGGAAAAAAATCTGAAATAAACTGTTATTTTTCCACACCCAGGAATATATTATCAAAAGGCAAAAATCCAAGCGATTCATGCCTCATGCCATAATTGTGCAATTTTCTCCAATCTTCACCTCCTTCCTTTCAAAAGAAAAGAAAAGAAAAAAAAACCCTCACAGATCTGTAGACAGACACTGGGGGGTTGGGGAAGAATAAAACATTTTATGAATTAAACAAGGAAAATTAACTATCTTCTTTGTTTCCTCATCAAAACAGAAGTTCTCATACCAACTTTGACAAAACTCAAAGGTTTAAAAAACAGACTGTTTATATTAAGAAATAGGAATAAATACATAAAACCTAAAATACACCGTTTCCTGTGATTTTACTTTCATGACTTCAAGCTACATTAACATGACCATTAATGATATGCGTAGCAGGGAAAGGATTTTTCAGTTACTCCTTTTAGAAGTTCAGTATCTTTTACTGCCTTTCTTATTACTGCTGTTTCAATTAATTTGTTCCCTTATAAGAGTGAAGATTTTACTTGCACCTCAACCACCACCACTTCTAAATACTTAGAACATATCCCATGAAAGAAAAAACACAAGACTTCTTCAATAAGACATTTCTCTTCTGACAAGATGACTTTCATACTAAATCCAGATGTCCACTTAACACTTGGCAGGGTGTGTCACTGCTTTATACACTTTTTTCCAAGATTTTTTTCTGACATTGTTCACCAGCTTTTTCTGTATGAGACATAAAAGTTAAACAAAAAGTACAGCAAGTTCTCACCTCAGAGTCTTTGGGATTCTGGTTTCCGAGCATATCCAAAACAGGCAGTAGATCACCTACTTCATGAGGAAACAGTGGAAGGAAGAGTTTGTACCCTCTCACCTATAACAGAAAGTTTCAAAATTTCATAAGCCATCTGGCATCCTCAAGTACTGAGGAAAAAGAAAAGAACCTTTGAGGAGCTTCTTGTACATGATCCTCATGTAGTAACAACAGTAAGGATATGAATTAAGGTCTTAAATACCTTGAGATTTTTGCTTTTTTACAAACTTATTAGGAATTAATGAAATGATTATTCTTTAAAACAAGGGGCCTCTGGAGTCTGCTAAAACACGGTCACCTACAGCAGGCTGCCTGAGCCCATGTCCAGTAGGGTATTTGGTATCTCCACGAATGGAGACTCCCTAACCTCTCTGAGCAATCTATTCCAATGTTCAAACCCTCACAGTAAAAAAAAGTGTTTTCTTACGCTCAGATGGAAATTCCACAATCCATCTCATTCTTCCTCATACTTTACTCTTCTTTTTAACATTATGACTCTTGTTTTATCACTTAGTATCTCGATATCTGCAATTTTTTTTTGCATTCAGACCTTGATTTTTACTAGTGTGGATCATTAAATAACATAAGCTATCATGAAAATTGTAAAAAAAGAGAACTAATCATTCACAATACAGTTCAAAGCATTTCATTGCATTACTTAGGCAATTATTTATTTATTTTACTATTATTGAAAATGTGAAATTTTTTGAAGTTACTTAAACAACAAAGGAAATATTGGAAACTTACACATTTCACTTACAGAATGTTAAATTTGGGGGTTTTTACCTTTGTAATGATATAAAGAAATTTAAAAGCCAGGTGAACTAGTGGGGGAGGAGATCCATTGTCCCGCACTATATCCAACAATGAATTCATCATCCACTCTAATGAAATGAGAGGGGAAAAAAGTGAGACTACATGCAGTTAGCTTACAGTTTCTCATACTTCTAATAATAAAAAGGGAGACAGTAGTCATATAATACAAGTAGTATCAACCACAGCAATCTTGTAATGCAAATATGGACCATTTAGTTTAACAGATTTTCAAGTATATACATAAAAAAGTATTTAAAGATGACATTCCTACCTAAGTGGCGATCCAACAAGTGAGGTTGCTCCTGGTACTTGTCCATTATACCTGAAAAGGAAAAGATATCTGCAATAAGCTATTCAAATTAAAGGCTCTTACAGGCATTAATTGTGAGATACACCCCTGATTCTAGACAGCTTTAGCTTAAGATTTCAGTATCCTTGAGCTAAGTGCTGCCACCACCTGCAAGTGAGGTCAAAAAGTAAGAAAACTACAGAGAAGTAACTCTAAAAATACAGTCTGTCCACTTCCATAGTGCAATCAATTTACCTACACTGCATCATAAACTCCCTTCTAGGAGTCTGTCAAATTACTGTGGACAAATCCCACAGCTAGATGAAACAAGAAATCACTCAGTTTGTTGCTGCCCTTCACTGCAGAGCTCTTTGTGGCTCTCCTTTCCTAAGCACAACTTACCAGCACACCATTTCTGACGGAACTGCACAAACAGAGAACATTAAACCACTATAGACTGTAGCTGCTCCAGCTTTACACTGCACTCTTACCCACACAGCAACCAGAATGTTGCTTTACACCCTCCTGCCTTGCTGTTCAGATCTTCTTCATTAACGTATAGAATCCCGCTTACTTTTACACATCGTTCTATTTGTTAGCATATCAGATTACTGACTGTCTTTAAAAACACACACACACAAAGATATCTCAATATCAAGAAGTGTAGCAGCATGACACTTTTCCAGCCCTGAGGCTAATACAGCTATGGGGAAATTCTCCCTGGACACACTGGGGCTTCACCACAAGGCTATCTTCCTTCCCATGCCTGGAATATATTTGAAGATGTAGCTCCACCACTGAGGATCTGTACTGAAACAGGGTATAGGCATTGCAAAATTCTTATCTCTTTGTTTTGAGCTACCTTAGCATAGCAGAAGAAAAACCAACATGGTACTACTTTGCAAGTGAAGGTGTTCTTCATAATTCTCAGAGCTAGTTTTTTTATTTTGAAATAGAACACAGAAAATTATTCAGCAGAGAACAAAGAATCCTTGATACATTTTAACCTGGACAAATACAAACTGTAGCTATCACTATCTGTGCTCCTCTAAACTTTTCACATTACTTATTTTATCTTGCTGCAATATGTTATCTTCCTTTTGGGAACTGACTTGAGGAAAGACAAATTGAAATTGAGTATTGAAAAAAACTAAGAACAACTTGCCACGGTTTTTAGAAACAAAATCATTCCAATTTAAACCTAGAATCAATGAAAAGCAGCTACAGAAATGGAAGCTGGATTTCAGAAGAGATCATCAAGTGATCCAATATTGCGCTGGAGACTGCCTGGGTCATTTTAGATATACAGTCAGAACGTAGCTTTTTCATTAGAAAACTAAGATATCTTCTTAACCTCTCCTTTTCCTGCATTTGTTTCTCTCAAACAATTTTGCTTTCTATCCCCTTTCTCCACTTGTCACATAAACACTTAGATTTAAGACATAACTCAACTTCAACAGTGCTGTAGTTGACCAGTGGATGACACTGCACAACCACTTTCAAGACACCAGCCAGTCCAAGAGTATCCTTGCAGCAACCTGTACAATTCCCTTGGGATACCATAGTGCTGTCTACTATCAAGAGGGAAGCCTGAGATCCTAATCATCGCTAACTTCCCATTGTAATTAATGATACCTTAAGCTGTGTACAAATAACAGAACTAGTGAATACAAGAAATCCCATCAACGCTCAAAGCAATAGCTCTCAAGCAGAACTGGAATTTAATAGAAAAATTCCTTATCTTGTGTCCTGGTTTCAGCTGGGATAGAGTTCATTTTCTTCCTAGTAGCAGGCATAGTGCTGTGGTTTGGATTTAGTATGAAAAGAACGTCACTAACACACTAATGTTTTAGTTGTTGCTGAGTACTGCTCATGCTAGTCAAGGACTTTGCAGCTTCCCATGCTCTGCCAGGTGCACAAGAAACTGGGAGGGGGCACAGCCAGAATAGTTGATCCAAACTGCCCAAAGGGCTATTCCATACCATGTGATGTCATGCTCAGTATAGAAACTGGGGGGGGGGTTTGGCCGGGGGGGGGGCGCG